GGGGTATCTGGGGATCCGGAGCCGGATTTCACGGCAGACAAAATGTGTTCCTGATATGTACCGACCATATGAGCAATCTGCTTTTGGATATCGTTGATGTCTTGTGCGCAGTATGTAGGAATGACAAGTATCTGGTGTCCCCCGGGGCCCCATTTTCTGGTTTTGATGTCTGTGTCTTCCGGTTTGAAACGACGGCATTTAATTGGGAACTGAGGGCCTTTGCCGTCACGATATACGCATTGAACTTGTAGCGGAAGTATGTCGTTAGATTCCCAAGACATCTTCTCTCTCAATGGCTCTTTCCATGAAGCAGATTCTATTCGAGTAGTCAACTTATGTCAGTTACAGGTGCGGCAGCAGCAATGAGGGCTTACTAGTTCGAAAAAATCCACAATCGGCTAGGTCTAGCCGAAAACATGGCTGAGAAGAGAACAATAGAGGTGGAGCGTCGGAACATTTCTCTGGGCGGTCCTTGCAGCCGCTGCACGGGGTGCCCAAGTCACACTGAAGCAGTCAGAAATACATTTCTTCAACAAAAAACATCCGGGACCAAAACACACCTTCCTCTTCCAAACCCTGCATTTGAAGCAGGCACCTCGTTCTCGGACCTCCGCGACTTCCTTCCGTCTCGAAGTGGAATAACGAGCACGCGGGGCGCTACATTGTCTTCCCACGATGGAATCAAACACGATATGGCTTCCGCCCCCGTTCTGTAATACCTGAAGACGTCTATCGACCTTCGTCTTCCTTCTCAAGTTAACGTTGTGGGATAACGCGTTCCTCCCATTTCCAACAGCATTATGTGGTGGAGGAATAACTCTCTCTAGCACCGGAATATTTTCAGAACTCTGCTCTGCTAGAGCCCCAACGTCTTTGCATTCCGGAGGCTCTTCAATTGACGACCCAAAGCAAGGACCAAACATAGGCGTCACTTCAGCCACAGGGCTGATGGTATAAGAAGAGCTCGGAGATGGCTGGGGGATTGGCGAAGGTAAATCGCCGAAGCCACTGGGATGCGGTCCCCATGTATATGGAGGATTGTGCACTTCACCGCAAGAAATGGATATTAGACCGAAAACCTCTAGAGTTTGTGGATCTGGGTGATAATTGTTCCATTCTTCGTTGTACGCTGGGCGCATGTCCGCACGCGAGTCGTAAGGTTCTTGTTGATTAAGAAGTGAAGATTCATGGAACCACGTGCCCGGAAACCCTGTGCCCGAAAACCCCGTGTCCGGAAACTCACTGAAGGTAACACCAAGGCCCGCTGGAATAGTTGTACTGCGCTCGTCGGTACCAGTGTGAAAATCGGTATTGAGTATGAGGCTCTGGTTGGGGTATTGCATTTCCGGTAGCATGGTACCATAGACCCCGTCGTTGCTTGGAGTAAGTTGATCGTCTGTACGTTCTAATGAATCGGGTGTATCTGTAGCGAGTCCATAACTACGTCGATTGTGAGATTGAGACATGATAACGGTGAACCGTGGAGGCTAATGCTGGCCGACGTTAGCTCCGATGTTCCATGACCTAGGGCCCTAACCGCATATATGGAGGTATTTATAAATCAATCACTTTATGAGCCGCCCGCCGCACCAAAGGCGCAGCGTAAAAACACCAGTTCGAATCGTGATAATAACAAACGTCTTCGGTGTCTCAGAGAGCCTTATGCAAACCCATAGGTATGTGGATTTTACTCTACAGGGTATGGTAGGCAAAAGCACATCTCCAATGTCTCAAAAGCACATGGTGACAGTCTTGTACGACCAAAAATCTCACCGCATACCATATGCGGTAACTCGGAATGTCGATCGCTTCGAAGAAACTTGTGCGTGTTCTTACAACAAACAGCTGCAGTTCATTTACAAAACACTATGCGCATTGACCAGAACCTGCAGTCCATCTTGATATCATGCGGATTTTGCCATTTGTTTTTGACGCACTTTACTCTAGGCAACTTCAACCTAGACTCGGTTGCGGATATGATCGCTCGGCTCGTCTTTGTAGGAGATGTACTTGCACATATTGCATTCAGCCGTAGGCTTCGCATGTCCCGTTTCTCCAATAAAATGACATAGTGAGCATAGGAAAGACTGGTACCGATCGACATGTATACCATCGTACATCCGCGTACCATTACAAGGTTGGGATATCGGTACAGCTTAAGAAAAAGTTTAAAAAAATACATCCAAATCTTTTCAGGCAGCAGCTACCTATTCTATGGACTCATCTTTGTTTTCCTCAGAAAGCTCTATGAAACTTTCCAATGTCAAGCGGGGAAAATGCATTGACAAATCACACAGTTCCCATCGTCTCGTTGGTTTCTTCTCCGTACTATCCCATTCTGTAGAGATATCAACCTGCGCTCCACATCTTTCAACGAACCCAGTTGGTGACTGCAAGAACCTCTCCATTGGCTTCAAGCCCTCAAGTTCCGCCTGATGGCGAAGATATTGTGACAGGTCATCCAGGCCGGAAGCATTGAGTTTGGTGGAAGGCATTTCTTTATTGGCTGATGTTAGTTTAAAGATGCTCTTGGAGGTCTAAATACGTACTAAAAGGCTTATTATGGACAGTTGGTGGTTGTGGTTGATATTGTGCGTACGGTAAAAAGATTTTAACACCTGAGAACTGTAAGGCAACAGAACACTTCACGGCCAAAATTGGTGATGGTTACCTATTACAAAGTCAAACTGTTCAGAGATCAATTTAGCCCAGATAGATATATGGACCTTTCTATCAGAGTCTACAACAGTATTTATACTCATTTCCCCTTCCTTCAACTTCATCCAGCCCGACATCTCCCGAGATGATTGAAGCGGTGAACCATTTCCAGTATTAGGTCAACAAGCCCTAATCTATAAGGCATCTGTTTTCTTTACCTGCGGTTTGTAGGCGATCAAGGCCATATATATGTATAACACGGAGCGTGCAGCTCCCAACAATCAAACTCCATCAAACCACACAGTATTTGCATCCGGAAAACCCCCTCTGCATACAGTGAAATCATCGTAAACCGTAGAACGCTCATAAAGCAATCCCACCGACGCGGCCCCTATCGTTTGAGAATTCTCCGGCCGAAAGTTCAAGGTTTTTTTTTCGGTCAGAAGGCTCCACTGTTCGAACGTTCGCTGGACGATCTCGACGATCAGCCTTATTACATACCGCTCCGCCACATTGGAAATTGTTCTTTCGTTGGCGAAGGTTACGCCTTTGTCGTACATACTCGGAATATTTGTGGCAAGGCGGTATTCCAGCGAAACTCATACGATTATAATGCATGAATGGATCTCATGCTATGTGCCAGCTGCATGGCCAGCCCTAAGTCTAAGCAAGGTTCAATGACACGGGTTTACATGGTGTATACTCGGTGAGGTATTTTGAGGTAACAATATCGAGAAAGCCTACACTGCTGTTGATCATGCGTGGGCTAATGTTCTCTAAGAAGGCCTGTGCACACATGCACGCTCAGCCATACCGTCAAAAACCTGCCAATCCTTCCCCCAGCTGGCTTCACGTTGCAAAAAGACGTTTCCTGCAACGACTCCTGCCCATGACAACCCGAAGCAATAACTGCCGCGAACGCATAACCTACTAAACACCTATGCTGCAATCAAAACAAGTCATCTGTCGACATTTAAGAGGTGATCGCCGGCCCCGATCGTTGGCATTACCGCAGCTCCTCTGGCGACTGCCTCTGGAGATTTAGTGGTGTAGCGTGGGAAGGGAATTCCGTTGAACATGACGGCAGATTAATGGGAGCTGTCAGACTCCTCGCCTGGGAATCCAGATGACTTCCATATTCTAGCGGCTTCTGAATGCCTAGGTAGGCAAACTGCCAAATCTTGACGTGGCATATAGGACCAACTGTGAGTTTTTATGGGCCAAATCCGCCTCATAGATGGTGGGGAGCAAAGAACGCTGGGATGCATAGCTCTATATATACAGAGCCTGCTCAAGATACCAGTCATTCATGCAAGACCACCTGTGGCCATCTTCCGAAGTCATCATGAAAACACATACACATTCGTATCAGCAGTCTTATCGGCGCCCAAATTTTGCCTCTCTCCTCACCATCCCCGGTACCATTGATCGCCTTGTTCAAACGACTCGATGGATTCACTAAGACTGCCGCTTGTTCTTTTAGCCAACATCTCCCCCATCGGAAAACGCCGTCCATCAAGCAGAGCCAACAGGACAGCGCACCTGTTATTTTACCTCGATGTGCAGTGTATTCAAATCTGAGATCATGGGGTCCTCAATGCCCCAAAGCGTGGTGATGGAGCCGGTGCTGCATCCATGGCCATACGAGACCACATCGTCACTGGCCTTCAGGACACCACATTTTCTGCAGGATATGGACCACGTCTATGAATGATGACTTTCAATGATGCCTAGCCAGGCCTAGATGATTCCCAAGCAGAGGAGCCGCCGTTTGTCTCGTATCCAGACTCCCAGCCGCTAAAGCCAGCAGTGTTTTTAGGGTTTGACTGGTCATGAATGCTCAACCGGTACCTCATGTACTCAACCACAAAATATCGTACCACTTCAGGCCTCCCCCTGTCTGTCGTCCAGTAGAACTCTAATTACCCTAGCGTCGTCCTTTCTCGTTTATCCAGTCTCAAGCTCACTCGTCAGTCCTGGGTACGTATACGGGTGGAAACCTAGGGAGACTCTTAAGTTGTTGGCTTATCGTATCATCCCCCGCAGTGCTAATATGATATGTGCTGAATGGGACTGCAACACGCTCTTTTGGTTGGTAGCCCGTTGACGGAAATGGACGACTACATCCAGTTTCAGAATTTCCTCTATTCAACACACACACACACAATTCAACATCCTTACACAATTTACAGTTCTACTCGGCAAACATCACCTCTGCGGGGGATTTTCTTGTAGTCCCAACAATTTGCAGTGATGTTGTGTGACTCTATCATTGCACTTTGCTCTGCTCTGATATCTACTTTTTGAATATAGAGTTTTGCAAATCCCCTTACACATCAATTGGCCGCATGGCCCAATGGCAAGGCGCTTGACTACGATTCCAAATCCGAGATCAAGAGATTGCAGGTTCGATCCCTGCTGTGGTCACTTCTCTTTTTGCCCCGTTCCCCTTCTCATATAGTTGACTTGATACGGATGTCGGCTGTTAAACAGTCACGGGCTCACAGACAGTTAGTCCGTACTTGAAACCAGCGTAGACAAGTGCAAAATAACCGGCAGAATAAGTCATCCCCCAGAAAACCTCACATTGAAAAGGTTCATTTAAGCTGTTGGGAATAGCAATCAATGGGCTCCCAACTCAATTGTACTCGAGTAGAGGCTAGACGTGTATAAGCGGACTATCCTTACCTCCCAGAGCGGGGACATCCAATTGAGCATAAGCTCGTGTATAATACTAGCTGGTGGTATGATATGTGAGTTTAAACTCCGTTGACATATCATTCACTCCCAAAGCACGCGCATGAAATCATGAGATGCACAGTGTTCTTGCCTTCGAGAGTCTGCTTTTGCCTCTTATACAGATATACCTATTACAGTCGCCTGATCATGATCCCAATTGCTAGATCTAGAAGTCATTGCCTGCAGTATGTCTCCCTCTCCCACCACTACCTATATGTGAGACGCGTCCAGGCGTCGGTTATATCTCCAGACTGCTGAGTGTTAACCCCCGCACTGGTGAACAGTGCTGCATAGGTTTACAAACAAACAAAGGATCCGCCAACGGATAGCATCAATTGGTTGATTGAACGTCATCACCTCCTTTCCGCCAACCGACTACCAACCATAAACCTTATATCGTGCCTAGCGGCTTGTAGAGTGCGGGGGATAATTATACACCTCCCCGCCCTTCCAACTTCCATCCACCCCTTCTCTCGCATGCGCCCGGGCTACGGTTAAGATGTATGTCTCAATCCTCCTACATCGAAGTAGGTCTTAGGGCAAATGACTGAGGGTCTACTTATGCAGAAACCGCGGCACCATTACCGCAATGATGACTGGACGTTGCAGGTGTCATGGTTGGCGTCGGTAGTACAAATCCCACCAACTCAATTTTGGTATGAAAAAAAAAAACACCTACAAAACACAATGCGATATCCCTTCCAGCCAAACAAAAAAAAAACCAGAAAATAAAAAAACAAAACTCTCAACAAATGTATACAGGTAGCATATAGGCACTCAGTACACCCCAGAAAAAACCCCGTTACACGAATGATAATGATACACAAAAAACCACAAAAAGCACTATAGTACTTCCTCATCGGTTTCCATGATACCCAAGACTCTAGCATACGGCACCGTGGTCCTCTGAAGATCTCTGTGCTTACCTGCGCTCCAGTTAGCCGTCGTGCATCCCCATCGTCGTAAGGAAGTAACATACCAATCGCCATCAACACGCCCCTGAGTAGCTCCCTTTTACTCCACCCACAAATCTCATCATCACCATCATCCTCATCATCGTCTTCATCCTCGCCCACATCCAATCTCCCCATCAGATCCCTCAGCAGCTCCTCCACCTTTCCCTTCATACCCTCACTCGCAAGCCTGCGCGCATATGTAAACAGATAACTCTTGAAGTCTTCCTTTGCACCGAGCGCCACTGCTGCTGCCATGCGGTTCTCCAGGTGCGCAATCGAGACGCTAGTTTCAAAGCCCTCAAAGCCCTCACGGGAGAGAACCTGCTTCACGATCCTCTGCAAGAACCTGCCGCGACCGTGAAGCAGAACCTCACTGGTAGTTCGACGCTCCAGGTGCGGAATGACACCAGCCGACAACGCAGGTTCACCACCGAGTGACTCAGCCACCGCCGCAGAAGGCCGCAGAGATCCCGAGGTATCCCAATACTGTGAGCCCACTGCCCACCAAGCCTCCGTAAGTTTCTGCCAGATGCAAAGATCACGTGAATATGCGTATCCATCGCCGTTGGTGAGGGATACGACTAGGGTCCCCGACGAGTTGACACCAGCATCCATGATTGCTTCCGATTTCGATAACCCGTCGAGTTTGGCGTACGTATTTGCAACGTCAAGGATGGGGGCGAGAGAGACAGGGGGGTGTGCGGCTTTAGCCGTTTTCAAGTTCCAAACGTGTGCTACGCCAACGGAGGATATGCACATTAACCACCACCCACGGCAGTCCAGGAAGCAAGGCTGCGCTTCGATGACGAGCGAATTGAGCATTCGTCGGCCTACAGGGGTAAAGATATGGATTCCACCATCCTCACAGGCTGCACACCAGAAGTTTGAGTTACCAGTGACCAGAAGGACTGGTTTGGGGAGGAAGTCGACCCATAGGACTTGTCCACCTTTCGATATGGTTAACCGGGTGGGTTCTCGAGAGTTCTTAGCTTCGAAAACTGTGTCCGTGCTGGCCGGCCCCGATCCTGCATTAGAAGCCGAGCCTGTAACAGGAGGGATGCTGGCGGATGGATGGCCAGTTGCATCGATAACGCGACTGATGAATGTCCTAACTTTAGGTACAGCTAGCCGGACTTGAGATGTAGATGTTGCGGGGGATATAACGGCTGGTCGGATGAATTCGGGGGTTTCTTGAGCACCCTTGGCATCCGACGCTTGAAGCACTTGGACGCGCTTCCCGTTGGTGATCGCCACCGGAGGGTGATCCTCATCCGTGGGCTCCTCGATTGCCTTGCGCTTGTTACCGATAATCAATGCCGCCATGCCGCCTTTTGGAAGACCGTCATATGGTCGTGATAGATCTAAGGTTGTTTTGGGGTCGAGACTGGCTGTAGAGCCCGAGTTTGCCGCTGCGTGAAGTAGCTGCGCATTTGGGAGATTCGAGCGATGCCCTCCACCTGTTGACACTAGTAAAGGCGCAACTCGCTTCTTTCCATCCTTGGTGATTGTGATCTTCTGCTTGTAAGGCTTCTCCTTCTCCTTCTCTACTGGCTCTGCGGGTGCACCCTCTGGTGGTGCCTGTTGTAATTGCCATTGAGGTCCCACAGCCGTACCAGTGTTGGCCATTGGTGTGTCTCCGTTCGTCCCATTTTGTCCATCCATCATCAACGCTCCCATCCTGCCTTCTACCTCCCTCCGTTCACCCGCTTTGGACATCTCCTCCAACCTCATACTATCCGGGCCTTCCGGTAAAGTTGCTCCCTTCCTGCCTGCTCCAAACTTTTGCAGTATGCGTTCATTCTCCTCAACAGCCAAAACATATCCCAAATCACCGTCCTCGAACGACATGCATATTATGCGTCCGTCCAATGATGAGATGAAAAGGTTCTTTCCATCTGGGCTCCAAGCAAGATCTGAAATTGCCTTCGTCGCGATATCTTGGATAATCACCAGCGGTCGCGGGTTTGAAGTATTCCAGACCGATAATGCCTTATCCTGACCAGCACATGCAATAACGGTGACGGGATTGACCGGAGCTCCGGCGCCACCCGTTTCCTGCGAAAACATCCTGGGTGCAAATGCGCATACCTCGACAGGCCCTTCGTGTCCGATAAGATTGATCTCGCTATCCCAGTTTCCGCGGTTGATGATGGCAACGGAACTAACAGGGCCATTGACAGCATTTGGTGCCGCAATATGAGAGCCGTCGGGCGACCACGAACACCTCCGGAAGTATGTAGTCAAAGGCGAGTCTTGAAATGGCCCATCAATGCTGGTCTCGACAACAAAGTTGCCCGCTTGATCGTGAGCCGTCGCATTGCTAGACGGAGATGTAAACCGATGGATCTTGACTGTTCTGTCGTCGCTCGACGTCGCAAAGTATTTGTTTGCCGGGTCAAAGGTAAGACCCTTCACATGCGATTGATGTACATCAATCTTCTTCAACCTTTCGAATGTGCTTCCCGACCAGACGATAACCTTGGAGTCCAATCCCACCGACACCAAAATGGATGAATCCGCCGACCACCCGCAATCCTGAACATCGTTGTCATGGCCGGCAAGTCGTCGATGCGTCCTCCAAACCTCGGTCTGAGACTCCCCGGACCCAAAAACGGGACGGGCGCCGGCGGTTTGATCGCGTTCGTATACGAGTACAATCTTGTCGTCCGAACCGGAAGCTAGATACCGATTGTTGCCGGAGAAGCGAACCGTAAGTACAGCGCCCGAATGGTGCGAGAGAGAGCATAGTTGTTTTGGAACGTTAACGTCGGTTTGATCGAAGGACTTGAAGATGGCATCAGTGGACCAGATGCGAACGTTTCCGTCTATGACATGCATGCAGTCAGCAAAAAGGTTGCCGGTGTGTATTCGCGGGCCGCATTGGATACGTACCCAGACCACCGGTGGCTAATCTCAAACTGTCGGGCGAAACATGGAGAGAGTAAACTTCGCAAGCTTTCTTGTCGGCTATTCACAAGGCTGTCAGCACAGATATCTAAGGTAGCTTCCAAGCAACTCCAAACACGCGACGGAGGAGCGGTCTACATACTGGAGTGAGTGAGCCACCTGGGTTTGATGAAGCGCACCATTGCTCTCAAGGTCTGCCGAGATGCAGCTTTGGGCGTGGAAGAATGTGTTGTGGGTAGAGTACAATCGGGTAACGAGTGGGAAGACGTGTCTGTCCCAACGAACCCTTTTCCTCCGTCTCCATGCCAAGCCACGCCGAAGGAAACCATAGCTCCGAGTTGAGTATGATACTCAACTCTCAGCTCCGCACCGTTTCAGTATCAAACACCACCACCATACACCAAACGCAAAGCCTCTATGCGGATCTCGAGGAGTTGCGCCCTTTTGAGGTGCGAATTGGGCTCTCAATGGGCCCAAGAAGTAAAAAAAACGCGAGTAACTCTCTATGACCGCCAACCAATTCTTCCATCCCCATCCTCACTCCTCTACCCACCACCACCACCACCATATACCACCACCACCTCGTCCTGCCCCCCATCTTCCTGAATTCTCCAGCGCCCGCCTTCCACCGTCCTCACCCAACCACTCCCGCCAACCGCCGCCACTGCAGTTACCCTACCATCACCCTTCTCCGCGTCTCCCCTTCCTCCTTGTCCGCCCACCCATCAGTCACATTCCTATGTCGTCCACCCCGCCCCCGCCCACCGCCTCCGCCTCCGCCGCGCTCTCGCCGTTAGAACAGCAGCTGTTGAATGAGTACACCAA